TCTCAGATATGGCTTTTTCTTTGCCACTCTGCCCTGAAGCTCAGAATCCTGCAGTTGCCTCTTCACTGTAGATGTTGACACTGGTGTACTATTTAATGAAGATGCCAGTTGGGGACCTGTGAGGTGTCTGTTTTTCAAACTAGAGACTCTAATGTACTTATCTTCTTGCTCAGTTGTGCAACGCGGCCTCCCACTTCTTTTTCTACTCTGGTTAGAGCCCGTTTGTGCTGTCCTCTGAAGGGAGTAGTACACATAGGAAATCTTCAATTTTTAAGCAATTTCTCACATGGAATAGCCTTCATTTCTAAGAACAAGAATAGACTGTCGTGTTTGAGATGAAAGTTCTCTTTTTCTGGCCATTTTGAGCGTTTAATTGACCCCACAAATGTGACGCTCCAGAAACTCAATCTGCTCTAAGGAAAGTCAGTTTTGTAGCTTCTGTAACGGGCTAAACTTTTTTAGATGTGTGAACATGATTGCACAAGGGTTTTCTAATCATCAATTAGCCTTCTGAGCCAATGAGCAAACACATTGTACCATTAGAACACTGGAGTGATAGTTGCTGGAAATGGGCCTCTATACACCTATATAGATATTGCACCAAAAACCAGACATTTGCAGCTAGAATAGTCATTTACCACATTAGCAATGCATGGAGTGTATTTCTTTAAAGTTAAGACTAGTTTAAAGTTATCTTCATTGAAAAGTACAGTGCTTTTCCTTCAACAATAATGACATTTCAATGTGACCCCAAACTTTTGAATGGTAGTGTATATATAAACAAAAACCCACAATATAGGTAGGTCTATAGGTTATAATACTCATTATCAAAAAATCTTTTAAAATACTGAATAATAATAATATACTATATAAATATATAATATTTGTCAAACATAATCTGATAATATATTAATATAAAACTTTGTGCTAATCAGATAATTTATTTGCAAAATATATAACTTTGCATGTATCTCATCCAGTTTGAGTTCAGTTTAAGAAGTTTTTAATCTGAATAAATATGTGGAATCTAACTGAAAGGTAATTCTAAAATGTGTTTTGGTCTTTTAAGGGGTTGTGAGAGATCATTGTAATATTATTTCTGACTCGTCTTTCGTGTGATTAAAAGGAGATCAGTGGCGTCTCCTATTTGTTCTGGCATTCTGACCTGTGGTCCGATCCAAGATGGCCACCCTCTAGGCATGTCGGCATCGCTGCCGACGTGCCTACGTAAATAAGTCTATGTCCTGAAATTATCCGACGTCAGATGACAGACTCCGCCCAAGTGTTTTGGTTCCGCAGAGAGATAACACTGCCAGAATATGCAGGTTTTTCATGTTTATTTCAAAACGTAGGAAACAATGATTCTGATAGCTCGTTTACTCTAACAGGGTGAGACAGAACAGAGCTTAGAGCGGAAGTTATCTTGGCTCCAGCTTGTCTTTGACAGACTGATATAACTAAAGGTCTGGAAGCGGATCGGAATGATCCAACCCTCCTCATTGGTCATCGAAGATGGATCCCCCAGAGGTCGAGCTACGGTGGCTGGCCATGCTGATCCGGATGCCCCCTCTACTCCCGTTGAAGTGGACGCTGCCGTTGTGCTGCTTGGGGCGAGTGTTACTGCCATCACACATCCTCTCTTATACGTCAAACTGCTAATTCAGGTAGCTAACATTGACAAGGGTAGCTAACATTGAGGGTGGGTGGACCTGTGTAGGACCAGATCTGGCATCATTAAAAAAAGAAAAACCGAAGTAAATTGTGCTGAAGATTAAAAGCAAGAAAAAACACTAACGAAATTTTAAAATACACACAGACCTCCTATTAAAAACAATTAGTTTAAAAACAATTAGATGCAATACATAAAAAATTGTAATTACTTTAAAGGTGAATGAATAAAGAATGTTGTTTAAAGCAATATAAACAATTCAATTCAGTTTATTTACCAATTCACAACACGTCATCTCAAGGCACTTTACAGTTCAACCAGATCATACAGTCTAATTGATTCAGAGTTTTCTATCTAAGGAAAACCAGTTAACGTCGACCCATTGACTCAAATACAATCCCTTATACTAAGCATGCTTGTAGCGACAGTGAAGAGGAAAAACTCCTTTTTATCAGGAAGAAACCTCCAGCAGCACCAGGCTCAGTGTGTGAGTGGCCATCTGCCGAGGCTGACTGGGGTTCAAGGAGACAGAAGCAGAGATACAAAAAGCAGCTC